GTTCTGCTAGTGTTCTGCAAGACAAACATTTCTAATACATTTTCACTTGATAAGCCAGCGATGTCAAGCAATATGAATAGTATGCAACACCAAACATGATCACAGCTAAACTAATGGTTCTTTCCTCTTTCTAACTCTGTCTCTTTCTGTTTTTGTCTCTCTTTCTTGCCTTTCCTCCTTCAGAATTGTAGGGCGTCATCTCCCAACAGCAAGGGGATGGAGATCTCTCCAGAGGAGAAGGAGAAAAGGCAGAGGAATCCTTCACATCTAATGAGGTAAGGGAGAAGTATAAAATGTGGGAAACAGCAAAATTTTGTAGAAAGTTTCCACCCAAATAAGGCTGTAGCAGCGCAAGTGATGGATCTGTTTAACAGTAACACAATGCCCCACTTGCATGAAATCCTCAACAAGAGGCAAAGGCAAGTGTCTTGGATTGGTTTGTTGCTAAAGTTGCAGGAAAAGAAAAGAATCCATTGAACCAGTAGCAGTGATTCTGTGATAGTGAAAGTTGTCCTATGCAGTAACTCTCCTCTCATCTCCCCCATACCAGCAACAAAGGTTTTCAAAGAGAAGTACCACTTAGTTTGTTCATTTTTCTTTATATTTTGTATGTTCTTCATTATTGAATATTATTTACAATATTATAATAATTTCATATGATTTTGAGTTGTAAAATGAATCATCTGAGTTTCCATTATCTCTTTGGCGGGATTTGCTTTGACACACAAGTCCTTTGGATTACAGGCATGTTTCTGGAACAGGTTGTGCTCACTCACCAAGGCTGACCATACGTCCATCTTCCCAGACATGAGCTGTCTGGAGAGACTAACCCTACACCACCTCTGCGTGTGAGGAGCCCTCCCAGGGTGCTCCTCTCCACTACTTCCCACCTCTCCCATCGCTAGCCCATGAAAAGCCCGCCATCCACTCCTGAGGAAACTACTCTTAGCATCACCAAATATTTTTTCTTAACTCTCATTTGTCAAATTCTTCTACTCATCACTGGCAAAAACAAATCCTCAGCCAGATGCAGAGAGCCTTGTTAATGATGTGCTGAAAGCAAAGCCCTAATAAAGTCTCTAAATATTTACTGTGAGTCTGAATTACAGGACTGGCCAGTTCCGCCCCTATTAAACTCTGTTCCCATTTTCCAAACACAATTCTTTTAGGTCACTGCATGCCAGCCAAGGAAATGACAAGATCTGTGTGCCACAGCACAAAGAGCCAGCAGGATTTACTTTTAAATTCTGGCCTTGCCACTCATGAGCTGCCAGACACTATGCAAGTGACTTTATTTACTCTTTTCTAGCTTCCTTAAGTATAAAATGGTGACAACAATAGTAATGCCACAGAGCTTCAGTGATGATTAAGATGTTTGCTGCCATTTCAAATTTATTCTCCTTTGAGTAAAAACAAGCATTGAAGAGTCACACATTGTTATGGCGGCTCAGAACACAGCTTATCTGTTGAGAGATAACATGAAGGTAAACTAGCAGTAATCTTTAGCAACAGCTAGGAATTTGAGCATGAGCAACTTTTCTTTTCTTTCTTTTTTTTTTTGCGGAACCAGGGATTGAACTCAGACCCTTGCGCTTGCCAGGGAAGTGCTTATTCTACTGAGCCATCTCCCTGGCCCCTTATGAGCAACTTTTAACCTCACTAGATAATGAACAGATCTCTGAAGGCCAGATTCATCTGAAGAGTTCTCTACCACAGTCCTAAGAGGCCCCAGAGACTCAGTAACTGTGAAGTCTTTCCTAATCAATACAACTAAACAATAGCAAGTCTACTGTGGGGTGGGCACCATGCCATATCCTGTAAATGGATAAGCTGATTTAATTCTTAACAGGTAAGTATAACTGCAGTTTTATAGATGCAGAAGTGAGCCTCAAAGATGTCAGCTATTCCATCAGGAGGCAGCAGCAGTCAAGTCTGAACTCATTCATTTCTGATTCCACAGCCCTCTTTCTTCCCAGTCACCATGTCATCTTGTCGGGCCACAGACTCAGCTCCAGAGAAAGGATGGGAAACAATCAATGAAGTAGGAACCAGAGGCTACTGTGAGGGACAAGTCGAACTTAGCTGAAAGGGCTGGGGAAGGATTGAGGGAAGGGAAGGGAAATAAAAAGGATCAAGATGGTACATGTTCATGTACCAATACCCCACAATGCATGCTTTCATTATGTACCACAAGCACATAATAAATAATAAATTTATGTTTGGAACTCACCGAAGCAGGTGAGACTGCCCCATGTTAGGCCAGTGGTACTTCAGTCACAAAGCAGAAGCTCCTAACTCAACACAAAGGGGTGACCAGGTCAAGAGACCATCTCTGGCCCCAGGTTCCCATCCTCCACCCCACCACTTCTCTGACTGAGCCACAAAGATCTATTTCCAGGTTTACCTTTTACACAAGACTACGGTTTTTGAAACCAGGAATAGCATTCATTTTTTTTTCTATCACCAGCTCACCAAGCTGCACTTGGCACATGCAGAGGAGAAGTCCCATAAGTGATGGGTGCATAAATGAAAGCCTGGACTCACACCAGAGCTGGACACAACAGCTTTAGAGATGCATCTACATCCTGAGAATCTCCATGGAAATTATTCTACATCAATTCTCAGTCACTGCATAGGGATCTCTGCAACACTAAGCTCTTGCAACAGCCCTGGGATGCAATGTCCTTCACCCTTCAGCCCTGCAAAGCTCTCCCTTTTGGCTGTCCTACTGGCTCCAAATAGAACCAGCAAGTACAGCCTATGGGTTAGATGCTGCCAACTCCACTGTGAAGATACAGACACTGGTCAAGTGAGTGTACCAACTGATTCCTTCATCATGGGCATGTGTAGCAAGGCTGCTAATTCCCCTGTCTTTTCAGGCTTCCATTGCATGGTTTAAGCTCATGGTTAACAAGCCCAGTGCAAATCAGTGCGAAGGAGAGAAGGGGAGGAGTGGGAAAGTAGACAGCTCCACAGAGAGAAAAATGACAGTAAGGCAGCTCCACTGGTCAGTGGCACCAACAGGGGACACTGGTGCCCTCTTATCCTAGAGAACGTATAACTCCTTGTGCTGGCCTGGTTGCATCTCTGCCTCATCTCTGTACCTAGGCCTGGGGAAAACAGGCAAGTGGGATCCTTGGTTCATGAGTAAAACAGGGAGTCACAGGTGGCTTCACTTTATTATCAACTTGGGTCTCCAAAATTGGGGTCAAGGGGACAGGACACTTCCAATGAGCCTCCTCAAGCATGCATGTACAGGACTGTGGTCCTTCTAGAACCAGGATCACATAGCCAATAGGGTGGGAGTCGGCAGAGCCATACCCCAGCCATGTCAGTTTCCCTTCTTTCACCAAGCTCAGGCTGAAGGTGTGCTAACACCATTGTGATCTCAGGAAAAGCACCCTTACTGGGAGCTAAGTTTCCTCATCTGTAAAGTGGGGTCAGCCCCTCCCCATGGCACTGCACTGTAGTGATAAAAGAAAGGAAGGCACATCAATGAGCTCCTGCTGGCAACTGGCTTCTATTCTTAGCAACAAGAAGTGTGCTACCCACTGTGCCCCTGACAGGGATGCTGTTGCCCCTGTCCCAGAGCTGAGAGCAGGAGGGATTGTGGACAGATCTGACCCTCTGTTCTCTCCCCTCACAGGAGCCCAAAGACAGTAGGTGAAGACATGACAGCCCCCAGCTGGACCCAGCCCCTATATCTAAGACTGTTTATTTCAGAGCAAGTGGAAAGGACAAATTAGAGTCATAAAAGACAGGACAACAGACCAATAAAAACCAGCTCCCAGAAGAGGCAGAGGAAGAGAGGCAAAACTGTCACCATAGCAACACAGAACAGAAACATGCAGCAAAAACAGCTCTGCTCTGCCTCTTCTTTACTGCAAAGAAGCCTTGGAACCCAGGTTGGAGCTCCTAACTCGATCCACCGCACAGACCTGCTGGTGGCACCTGCCTCTTGCTGTCCCACAGGGCGCCCGCACCAGCTTTCTGGGCCCTGGGGACTCACGGAGATGCAGGTAGCTCAGGCCCGTCCAGTGGACAGTGACTGGTGATAGCAGGTGAAATTTCTAACAACGAAAGGTGGGGGGACGAAGAGATGTTCAGGCTTCCAAAACCTAAACTCCAGCTATCATCTACCCCAGAGCTCCCTGAGGAGCAGTCAGGGAAACAAGAACAGGGAGAAGAGGCCAGGCCCAGACCCTAGAAGGAGCATGCCCTCAATACTAGGGTCCAAATCTCCAAAAAAGCCTGGGGGGACTTCTGGGGAGCCACGTGGACAAAAATGGCTTTTGAGGCCTTAAATGTCCAAACCCCTGGCCCTGGGTCTCTGGGCCACCAGCCAGCAAGTCTGAGCAGCCCGGAAGGAGTCAGGGACCTGCTGGCCCATACTGACAGAGGTGTCCTCGGTCCTTCCAGTGACATCAAGCCAGTTATCTCCACCAGAAAGCACGGTTGGATTGGGACCAGCCTCCTAGGAAGTGGGTCAAATTGTCCTTCAGGCCGGGATCATCGGATAGGAAGTCTACGGCCAGCCTGGGGCTGCACTTGGGGTGGGAGGAGGGAGTGGGAGCTGGGGGCTGAGGTCCCGGGCAGGTGGTAGGGCAGGGTCCGGCTGCAGGTAGGGAAGGCTCTGGCGCTGCCTCTGGGCTGCAGGCAGCTGGGCAGGGAGCGACCCGGCGGGGCAGGAGGGGCACGGAAAGAGGTCTTGGAGAAGGAAGCCTCTGCAGCCAGCGGCACACGGCGAGGAGGGAGTGACTGAGGGTGGTCTGGAGCAGGAAGCCCCTCCGGAGCCGGGGCCAGAGAATTGCGCTCGGGTCGGGTCCTCGGCGCTGGCCTACTGCCTCCCGACCCCAGCAGGTCGCAACGAGCAGCGGGGATGACTAGGGCCCAGGGCACCTCATAATTCCCCCAGGACCCGGAGACTCCACCGCCCCACCCTACCCGGCCCACGCTCCCGGCAGCGCCCCGGTCGCGTCCCGGCCGTCCGCGCCGCTCACCAGTCACCACCGCCGCGCCGCGCTGGGCCCCTGCTCCGCGGCCGCCTGGAGGACGCCTCTCCCGGCGCTGCAGCCCGGAGACAGCAAGCGCAGCCGGGGAGCCTCCAGCCCCGCCCGACCACGCCCCGAGCCAGGCTCCGCCTCCAGCCCCCTCCCAGCCTCACAGGTCACGCCCCAGAGGACTGTCCCGCCTCCAGCCGGGCCGGAGACCCGACCACGCCCCGGGACCCGCCCCGAGCCGCCCGGGAGGGGATCCCGCATGCTGGCTCTCACCTGGCTCTGCTATCTGCTCTGGGCTCGGCTCAGGACATCCCAGCCCTGCTGTCAACCTTAGCCGTTTGGCCTGCCCTAGACAAGGATTTCCTTAGTCCCTCGTGAATGAGTCCTTCCCTGCTCACTTGCCCTCCCGGGCCTCAAGGCTTGCAGGATAGCTATGCTAGAGCCACAGCCCTGCACCTGGCCACCCCAAACCCCAGCTCTGCTGTCCCACCGCCGTACTCTGAGCTTAGCCCTGTGGAGGGCCTTCCCGAAGAGATTCCCTGCCTTGGGGACTTCGGATCTTGATGGGATCCCAGAGAGATCTTCCTAAGCTCTCAGTCCAGAAAGTGTAATTACCTAAACCTGAGTCTGTAGACATACTTATTATAGTCTGGGATTCAAGGAGAAAGCTGCAGGCAACAGCAAGGCAATGGCGACCATTGTTTTCAATCATCTGTCATGAGGCTTTTGTTTTAGACGGAGGAGCTTTGGGAAACCAGAGTGGCCCAGGTTGTGTGGAACGGGTTGTGAGTCAGAGCTCTGTGCACGCATGCGTGTGTGTGCATATGTGAGTTTGTGTATATATGTGTCTGCGCATATGCACGTGTGTGCGGCATGTGTGCATGTGTGAGAGATGGCCTTGCGGTCCCCAGTATAAGGGATGCCTATACCAGACAGTTGGGGTGGCAGGCAACTTAGATGCAGTCTTCTCAGGGTGCTCAGCTGTGTTTGGAGACGCTGGGGACCTTCAAGGGTGTGTGGACTGGGTGCTTAGGAAGCAGAGTGCAGGTCCCAGAGTGTGGGAAGGATGGGGTCAGTTGTGTTCCCCTCCTGAGCACCTGTGTGTGCCCCTTAAGGACTTGGCTGCTGAAGCCTCTTTTGGCTCCTGCAGTCCATGGGTCTGGAGCTTCACATGAACTGAAGCATCAAGCTTCTGGCTGATTTTGACAAGGACTCACATACAGCAAGACTGCATAGTCTGGACAGTATAATATGGTCTCTTTATTGAGATGGGGCTTTGGGATTCCCATGAAAATTTTTCCCTGTTTCATGCGAACTGTTCAGGGGCTGCTGGCCCAGGCTCAGCCTTTGCGGTCAAGTCCTGCAAAGACAGCTTGTCTGTGCGTGGCTCTATCAGAAAATTCTTCTTGCCAGAGCTTAACTGCACTTCACTGCTAAGTGACGCTATGACCCCACCCCATCCTACCCCACAGTAGAACTCTTTACATACACTGCTCACTTTGAACTGGGCCAGGCTTTGGGAAGGACAAACATGAACCAACCAGAGGTTCCACTTATCCCCATTAAAACTATCATTTCAGAGTAGCATAGGACATCTTACTGTACATTGTCTATTGCTAATAATGTGGTTTATATTGGTGAGTAGACCACTTGATGTTTAAGATTTCACCACTACACACTTCGAGACAGCTTCTGTTTCAGTAATTGAGGCATACTAGCATGGTATTTTCTACCCTATTATGAAATAATAGGGTTTTCTAATTATTGGTGTGGAATTTAATAATTAAGTGTTTCCTTAGACACAATATTCAGATGAAACAGTCTCCCAACTTCATCAGTAATGCTAATAACTAGTTTAGAAGTTATTATAATAAAGATTACAGTGAAGTTAAACTGTCATTTAGGGGGCAGGTAAGTTGAGATGAAATTTCAGATGGTTTTCATTCCCAATGTTTGGTAAAGTGAGCCTTACTATCCTTTTTAAATCTTCTGTTTACTTATTTGGTACAGGGTCTCACTACACAGCTCTGACTTGTAGTGATCCTCCTGCCTTAGCCTTCCCAGGCATGCACCACCATGCCCAGTTTTGATGGCAGGCATGCTGTGCCTGGGGTTCCAGGGCTAGCATAGCATGTGGTACTGGGGCTCAAACCCAGGTCCTTGCACTTGCCAGGTAGGTGCTTAGATCATAAGCTAGCTCTCTAGTCTGAACCTTGTTATCTTAATTAAACTTAAACCAAACTATTCTAGTTTCAAAGACATCCTGCTTATGTATTTATTTTTAAAGAGAGATTGAACATCAAGTGGCAGGCATTTTGCTAAAGGATGGAATAAGGACATTTTCCAAGATCTTGAGGACACAGACAAGTGGCCGACCCTGGCTATGACAAGGCAAAATAAGACACAGGATAAATGAAGATACCTGTTGTGTGGTCCTAAGAGCAACAGAAACTGGGAGGTGTTGAAAAGGACAGTGTTAAAATTAAGTCCTGAGGGTTAAGCCTACTTCAACAAGCAAGAAATGAAACAAGGGTATTGTAGGTAGCGGGACAAAAATAGGGGCCACCTTAGCCTTGTGCCAGGGAGGCAGACAGTGGTGACCAGATCAGTCTGAGGAGGCTGCACTTGATCCTAGGAAGCCCTGGGAAACTAATGATAGGCTCGGGGTCTTTATTTCAATACAGGAAGTAGAGGAAGAGGAGGAGGCAAAGATGTAAGAGTAATCAGAGTAGTTCCCTGCTTACCAGGGGCTCTGGTCAGCCCTTCATGGACTGGCTCTTCCCTCTCATCTTTTCCTTTTTTTGAGACAGGGTCTCACTATGTAATTCATGCTGGCCTTGAGCTTATTTTGCAGAGCAGGCTAATCTCAAACTCTCAACAATCCTCCTGTCTCAGCTTTTCAAGTACTGGGATTACAGAAGTGTGCCACCACGCTTGGCTTCCCTCAGGATTCTCAGGGTTGAGAACAAGACTTGGCACAGACTGGGGCATAGATCTTTTATTCTGGAAAGCTCCCTCAAAATTCCTCAATAAATTAGATTTACCTTCCCAGCACAGGGCCCTTGTTTGTTGAAGGATCTTGCCTGTTCCTGGACTGCCTTCTAGATGTGGAACTGGGGTGACTTCTTTCCCTATCCCCTGGTATCAAGGATCATTTGTTCTCATGCTAATGATTTTGGGGACACTGTGGCACTGTGGACTTCTGTCCTCTGAGTAATTAGTCCTCTGAATGCTCCTATAAAACTTATAGTCTGAGCCACAACTCCTCTTACTCATCATGTCTCACAGTCTGCTGGCTTTAAGAACATTTCACATATGCAAGTTTCCTGAGATCAGAGACATTTACTGTGACCTCATCTAGATTTAGGATCACAACTGAATGCGAATCCTGCTTCTGCCAGTCTTGAGCTGCATGAACTTCAAAAAGTCACTTAATTATTGGAAGTTTGGCTTTTCTCTTCCATAACATGGGAATAATAAAACCTACTTCAGAAGGCTGATGTGAGGGCTGATCTGTGTGTAAAGTGCTTGGTAGCTGGGAAAGAGAAGCGGTGTAAAATGTTGCATGTCCTTTTATGTGTGCCACTTGCATTGGTTTGAATTACACTGGGGATATAGTAAGTGCCCATTTAAAACTTGCTGTTTGGCAGGTTCCTTCATAGATGTGGGTGTTGTGGGGAGTCCTCAGGGTCCGAGGGCCTGAAGCATCATAGTGCTTGTTCTCTGCTTGCTATATTACAAGAAAAAAAAATCTTAATGTTTGCCCTTCCAGGTCCCTGATCTTCAGCAAGAACTACTGTCTTAGTTGCTCTCAAATCACTGGGATACTACATCTAAAGCTCACAACTTAAGGATCAGAGGCTTATTTTGTCTTAGAGTGTAGAGATTTCAGTCCATAGTCAGCAAGCTCCAAGACAAGAGGGTATAGCAGGCAGGCATAGAGGAGAAGAAGCTGCTCACATCTGGATGACAGGCAAGCAGAGAGTGTCAAGGGAGGAGTTGAAAGTGACCTTCAGGTCAAGGCCCCAGGTACCCACTTCTTCTGACCAGGCCCTTCTTCCTCACAACTATAAGCCTCATAATACAGTCATTCTCCAAAATCTCCACAGGAGGCTTTCGGGGACATTTTAGCTGTAAACCATTAATAACTACATGGCATTTTCCCACTGATGATTCCCACAGTGGCCTATGGAGGTGAAGAGTTTTCTTGCCAGCTGCTGGCGAGAGTCCTTCAGGTAAGTAGGGGTTTCTGCCTACTGCCTTCAGAAGAGAGGATAATAACTTTAATTCTAAATATTGCACCAGTTTTCTCAGCTGATGTGAAATACACTTCCTTGTTGAAAAAAAAATTGCCCAAACCATATTGAGAAACTGTAGGGGCTAAAAATTCTTGCTTGGGACTAAGATATACATATGTGATTTAAGGGTTCTGACTTTACTGTTCTTTTAATCCCTGGGCTCAGTGTGGCTGGGTGTTTCCGAATGCCCCTCCTTTGCATACAGTTCCCCTCTTTCTCAACTGACCCTTCATTCTGGTGCATTCATGGATTTTCTACCTGTGATTTTAAACCTGGCTCACAGCAAAAACCTGCCCAAACCATGTCAATTGTCCTTTCCCATATGTTCCTGTGGCACTGCGTTTCCTAGCTTGGGCACCTCATCAGACTGTTGGTTAGAAGAGCAGGTTACAGCTGATTTCTTCTTGTTTGCAGTAGTGATAGTCCATAACGTCACCCTGAACACTAACTTAGTGAATACTAGCCAGTTTCTCAAGGGAATGCAGGGTTAGGTTAGGGTCCTATAAGTGTCTGGTCATATTTTCATCAACTTATCAATATAGAACCTTGTTTGATTCTATTGAAAGACTCCTTATCTGACATATACGGTTCGTCATGACATTGAAGTCACTTTCAATTTGGCCTGAATGAAGCTTTTCTGTTTAAAGAGCAACATCCTCTTCTATTTAGGAACCATGGATGACATTTTAGCATTCTACTCCAAAACCTCTCCATCAAAAAGAACAAAAATGAGCTGAGGGTAGGTAGTGGCACTGTGGTAAGACGAGACAGAAGGATCATGAGTTTGAGTCCAGCCTGGCCAATTTAACC